TTTGACCGGGATTTCGCCATAACTTAGTTCGGGTGTTGCGCTGTCGCATCGACGCAGCCATGGACGAACTGATCGAATTAGCACATTCGACAATGTATCCATAAATATCTTTATATGCTCTGGAGTGAAAATCGCTAATTAAGTAGGTCCTTTAGTGATGGATATATTGGGTTTTTTTGCATTATTAAAAAATCGAATCGAAGCATTTAATGTCCTTTGTTTTGCATTTCCTGTTTGAAGACGCGATTAACTTTCTACGTAATGACACATCAGTAGCAGTTTAGTTTTACTTACATCCTAAGTGGTATGCCAAATATGTAGGAAGTAAAAACCGGGATAAGTTAACCCACCTCAATTACCAGAACTACGCTGTTCAATATAGCGTCCATGTGTAATTCATTAAACTATGTATTCGCTTTATAAATATTCGTGATGTAATGATATTTGGGTAGATAAAATTACTGTGAATGTCTCTACTTAGTCCGTTGCCAACCAAAATATTTGAGATGATTAGACAGTGGTGTCTAGTTTAGAATAAGTTAATGTCCACAACTGACCATGTGTGTCCAGCAATAATAAAATTGGTTATTATAAATACATATTTATCTTATCGAAATAAAACCACATATGGACATATTCTGTCGGTTTTCAATGTCTCCTGTATTTAAGCTTCAAATAAATCCTTTCCCGGTCTTCACAATCATCCACAACTTAAAAAACAAGGAAAAAATCATAATTGAGGTCAAGCCATATACAAATACCAATAATGATTGAAGCCAGAGCGATCATTTTGATAGTAAGTGTAAAACGCCGTTGCCTTTAGTATGCTTTCTGATAAGGCAAAATGCATTTTCTCATTTAAACCTACAGGGAAAACGCACAAAGACATCACCTTTGGTTTTTTTTTCCGGTTTGGGCTTTCCCCTTTAGTTAAACAATTGAAACTGTTTACTAATTACTTTAGCTGCTCTAGTAACAACATGAATACTTATTAAGTGTAAGATTTAATTTCTAAAGACAGTTCAGCAAATTTATTTAATGTAAGAAACAGGGAACAACGAATTTAGTCTTGGTAATATTGTCCATGGTTTTCTATGACCTCACCGCATCTCTCAGGTAACGTACGAATGCCGTCGCGAAAGATATTTGCCGGCTTTGAGGCAATAAACTCATTGGTGGGTTTAATGCACGTCATTCAGCGTTCTTAAATGTGCATCCACTACGGCGTGATGTTGCATTGATTGGAATAAATGGTAGTTGGATGGGACCAAGTCTGGTGAATATGCCGCGTGTGCGAAAACCTCTCATTCCAAGTTCGCGAGGGTCTTCTGAGCAACGTGAGGTGGTTGACTCCTGTCATGCGGCAGTATGACTTGCTGCCTTCTTGCCCAGTAATTGACCTTTTTGATCACGTTCTTCGCTTACTTTGTTCAGCTGTCTTCTCCAGCGTTCCGTAGTTACAGTCTGACCAGTTTCCAGGAGTTTGTAACAAACTCAACCTTCCATATCCCACCAGACACTTATAATAACCTTTTTCTAACAGAAGTCCTGTTTCGACTGATTTGCCCGGGTTCTGCCCACGAATCTATGGTTTACGTTTGGGATTTTCGTTGTAGGTATACTTTTCATCATCCATCACAATTTTCCACAAGACGTCCATTTTTTGTTACCAGGCAGCAGTGAAAGGTATGTGTTCATACGTTGGCATAAGTTATCTTCTGTCAACGCATGTGGTAACCAACTTTTAAGTTATTTTATCTTTCCCATCTGGTGCAAACGCCTAAAATTACCTGCTTAAGTGATTGGTGACCAAGCTGAAAGTTCTTGACGCATTGGCTTTGAGTCCTTATCCAGTAGAGTTTGCAATTCCGCATCATAAAACTTGTAGTGATCTTTCATCAAACGAGCTCGACTGATACGTATTTAGGAGTTGATCGAATGTCATCGATTGCCGACTACAGTCGACCCTCGAGATGCCCTCACGCACTGTACTATAAGAGACTTGGGTGGTCGAATGTAAATACATCGTTATATTTGCCATCATCGGCCTTGCCTTTCTTCTAGGGCTGTCACGGACTGTCAACTAGCGGAGCTTTTAGTTAGTGCTAACAGAGCCACTACAAACTTTGAGGCTGCTGTCCGGAGCACGACTGGTCACTGAGACCGTAATCACTACTTCTTAAACGTTTGGGCCAATAATACGCTTTTCATAACACACAACGTCTGCACCATGAACACTACAAATTTACTCCCGTGCTTTGGAACAAGCATTTTTCCTTGTTGAATTTCGTATAAAATACAGTGCTGAATGTGCCGCTTATCAGTTTCCATCGTAAACCGGGCTATTCTGATAGGTTTTGTAACTAACTTAAAAATGTTCTTTTAAAGCGACAAAATATGGCGAAAACATTTTTATTTAAACAAGATTTTGGGCTAGAAGAAAAATCTGGGCAGATTAATCTATATACCTAATATTAAAAAAGTCAATTAGTCCATAAAGATATCCGTCGTATTTGTAAACCTAGTAAATGGGGAATGCAATACATGGCGTGCTTCGTTTTTATTGTTTAAGCGACCATTTGAGTCAAAATTGGCGTATTTCAAATATTTTCTTTCAAACTTTTCGCAAATAAGGTACTTCTTGATTCGTAGCATTGAATAGAAAAGTGGAACAATCCTGCAATTTAGTTTGATTTATGAAGGATCTGAAAGCTTACTTTTCTGCCAAAGATACTTAGCACCACACTACCCAAAGACAATCGTTTACACAAGCGGATTTAGTTTAGCACTTCTGCAATATATCAAGGCATCCAGACTCATTTTTTCTGTTTTTTGGCGCATTTAGTTAATTCTCATTTTCCAGTTTATGATAACTCTCGAGCACTTTAAATTTGATGAAGACATTCCATTCAGCAGTCGCCTACCAACAAGACCAATGGTATTGTTTCTGCTGCTGCTGCTGCTGCTGTTTCTGCAAAAAGTTATATGTGCGACTGGCTGATGAAGTGATTTTCACCAGTGCCATCGTCTCAGAACCCACAAATCTACATAACAACTACTTGATTAGGTAAATTCCAAAAGTCTAATTATTGGTGGATAACCTTCTCAATCATGCTTAGTCTCTTTTGCATGATCACTTTCGTAACTTATGGTGTCACAAAGTTAATGGCTTGAGTCGATTCCATTCTCTACACTTCTTACTCCAAACACAAATGGCAAGTTCTCATATGTACTCAATGCCACTGTTTAAGTAGCCTCTCAATGCTGTCAACATGGTTGCCAAATAACTGCAAGCGTATTACAACGAGGGTGATAGGCAACATAATATTTTGTTCAGTCTTCCGTTTTTTGAACTTGAACAAACCCGACATCGGGTACAGAGACAAGGTTAGGAGCATGAACAACAAGGTGATATTACCACACAGGAAAAAATGCTTAGTTGTAAGTAAGTGTGCTTTGCAAGCCCTAATTTATTGCATAAGAAATAACCGTATCTCAGTATGTCAGGACAGAGTATTTCAATGAAATATAATTCGGTGCCTTCTCTCGACACTGACAATGAATCCTTTCTACTAATAATTGCACAAGATGTCAAAAATACCGGGGTTCGCAATGCAGAACAATGGCTAAACGCTTAATAAAGCATACTCAAACCTCTCAATTTATGGGCAGAAAACACACTTAGTACAGGAGAACACCATACGGCTAGGTAGTTGAAGAGATCATTCCTAATTTGGCCTATTTAGTTTGACATCTATTAAGCGATTTCCTCGTACTGTCTCGGCAACACTGCTGGGACGCTAAGGTTTTTAAGCATTGGCACATTTATTTTACCCTCTGATGCACAAACAAATAATAGCAAATTCAAATTCGTGGAAGCAGTAAGCTGAGAGATGTCTTTGGGGTAAGCTAGGAACTTGTTGAGGCTCCGGCGTGGGATTCGAGTGCACTTTGAGCAACCTATTAATTGAGGCTTAGTGTGCAACGCGCACAAACCCCAAGGACAATGGGAAAGGCCAAAGGCAGCGGAAGCTCAATTGGTTTCTAAAATGGCTCAAAAAAGTTGCCTGAGAGTGCAGGATGGGTTGTCTTAAAAACTGGAGTTGGAGGCAGAGAGAAATAATATCTGCCAGTGGCCTTAATCGATTGAGGTTATATGACAGATCCTAAATATACGGTTGATTAATTACGCAGCTGTGATTATATCGGTAGAGTGCACAGTGTGATTGATCAACCAGGTTATGAGTAGACAATGAGAGATGTGCATTGACATAACTCACTACATACCCATAATCCACTTATTTATAACAAGGTAATGATCTTCCCTATTCCTAAAACAAACCCAGGTCAATCATATGCCAACGTATTTAGCAAATACTAAGCCACGGTTATGATTGTCGTGAATTTGATTTTCCACAAGCATAAAATGTCAAAGTGGCCTTATAAAAAACCGTTTTTGTTATTTTTGCGATGATCCTAAAGAGCATTGTTAGGGTTGAAGACAACAGGGTTCCTGATGATGCCCACGATGTTCTTGTAACCCTTGGGTAAAAATGCACCGATGTCATCGTTGCAACCAATTTTGAAAGTTGCACCTGTAAAATTTCTATCACGCAACAGAGCGATGAACATCAAACAGTTAAGGCGAGGTCCTTAGAGCCCCACCCTAACTAGCATGACGCAATCGCATCTTCAAGATCAAACTTGAAGCCTTCCTACTTGTAGGCTTCAAACTTAATCTCTGTTTTTCACAAACTCACCTCACTACCAATGAAACGACTACCACACGGTTTACTTAGTGATTTGAATGGCAGTAGCTGGATGCCGTGTATTGTTCTTGAATTCTGCAGATTTAAAATTGACGTTGTCTGCCAAAAATCATTATTTTGAAAAATTGACGGCAGTGTTTATCCTATTTATTGGTGAATTTTAGTGGTATTGAAGTCTTAATCTATCCCATGACCAAGTAAGCTCACCTATATGGCATTTTCGCATAATTTGTCCTAATTTTTATTTTACCCATCTAAGGTGGTTTTGTTTGCCATTTGGAGCAGCTTTGCAAAACAGAATTTGCAACAGTGAAGTTAATTCATGCTACTTATTATCAAGGGTGTTTTGTTTTGAAGTTCAGTTGATTACCCAAACGCAAAAACTTCTTTATTAAAATTTTCCACGAATCAAGTTACTTGAATAGCAGTGAAAAGTTTAATTCTCGATTTCGAGCCCTCTGTGGCCCTGTTAAACAAGCAACTTAAAAACAAAAACATCGTATTCGATGATTAATATAACATCTAGTTTGAACGTTGTTATGAAACTCCGTTTAACATGCGCGAGTGTCCAATTGCAATGTAACGCAAACGTTTGTTCATTATTTCCCAAAAAATTTGGATTGTCAAAGAAAAATTGCGGTATTTGTAAGCCAATAATGGTTGCGTTATTTCCGACAGGTGTAACTCATTGCGTCACTAACCAGATGGAGTGATGGAGTATGTTTAGGACTTCAACGGTGTTGCATTAAAACAATTTGGAAGCATGTAGGTGTAGGTTCTTGATATACAATTAAGCCTTTGCAATCAATGGTGATTGTGTTTTATGTCCTGGGCACTTGAACGTAACTTAAAACCATGTAGTAGTTCGCATTACCTGCATTTGAAAACCAATTACCTAAGTTTATTTAATTTTTGCAATTACCCAAGGTGTTTTGTGGTGAGTTTGCCCCTGGCGTAAAGCTACACATGGTCTCCTGACAGTGAGAACGATTGGCGTAACTTCACCTTTCACCACACTGATCGCTATGGTTTCCCATATGAGTGTGAAGAAGTAAAGACGTAGCAAGTTAAGTAATCGCCTCTATCGTCTGACGGTGAATGGGGTAATCTCACTGGACAGAAACACTGCGTTAATGGACGAACGGTGCTCATGCACAGAGCACCACGACGCACCCGTTCCGCACCTTCGCAATGACCTCTCTTGCGCTCGCGCGTGTGTGTGTGTGCCTGTGGAGTGGCGTGTACGCGCTCACATTAGAAAAAGCAAGAGTGCGGGAGACTTTCGATATCACCATTGGCGCATTTGGTTCTTTTAATTTTTGCCATCATCGAAACATTGCGCTTTGTGATGCCCCAGAGATAAATGTTTCAAAGATCCTGTTCAGCTGTTGAAGCTTCACTGTTAAGTCAACCAAGGCATAGAAATGGCTCGTTCAATCCTACTTGTGTAACCCTGGTAATCTGCGTCTTAGCAGTAGTATGTATGAATTTTGGGATTGCCTCGGCAGCCACTGAATCACCGAATGACTTAAAATCAGGTCGTGGCTTACCTTCGACCGGTGACGCTCCCAACTCCTCCGTGTGTCGACACAGGCTCAATCAAGTGGTGGGCCACGCCGCCAAATGCAACATTTCGAGAGATTTTCGTGGATGCCGGTTCGATTCTGGATTTATCTCTTATTTGGAATTCCAATACTGTCAGTTTTCGTCGCCTGTTGCTCCAACGATTCTGATGGTAAGTTCCGTGTCACATTAAATAAAATATTTAGTCCAAAATATGATTCCACCTGTTTCGCTGGTTATTACAAAATGAAAGTTCCAATCTCCACCGAGGGCCAGAATGTTAATTGTTCCGGTAACATTGAAGAAATTCAAAATATTCTGCCTAATTAATTGAATTTGAACTTAAGGGGAGGTAAACATATCCCAGATTTTTGTTACTCGGTTCTGGGTGGAGATGCATATACAATAAGATCCGAAAGGTTAAACATGGGTCACAGTTTAGTTGGAATGCAATGAAAACACTCGCATACTGCCCTGAAGTACACAATGCAATTACACAAATCAGTTGTATTTTTCGAAAAACAGCTAAAATCGTTTTACTGCTTCTCAATGTCTAAACGGATTTTCTCAGCCTAAAACGGAATAATAAATTTGGCAAAATCACGTGATTTATGATGAACATGGGTAAGTCTATTCTGCAATTAAGAAATTGGAATAATGAATGAACTTGTCTTTTGAGGTTCGGCCAATTACAACCCAGTGTCATGGAGTTTTGGCCAAAGGTGTTTCTCTAAATTTTCTATAATTCGCTATTTTTCGTCTCCTATTAAGAAAAACCCCCAAATGCCTCGTCAAATTACCATTTCAAAACAATTTCAACAGTCACAAGACCTGCGCATAATTAACAAACGTATGCGTGTTCACAAGTCCATGGTGCACAACTCACCACCAGTGAAGTTTTTTTATGTTGTATCTACCACGTGCTCTAATTAAGGGCAAATTTGTGGCTTTGAATAACATCAAGATAAATTTCAGGTACATGGTCGTGTGTCCTGGCACTGAAAACTCGATTCATTTTGACCTGGGCATGCAAACTCACTGCTTAAGCAAAATCCACTGCTTAAACTTTCACAATCAATTTTTCGCTCAAATAATTTTTTTGACCTTAAGTGCATCTATCTCTGGGTATTTCTGAAGAAACAGGAAATTGGCGTAACAAAATAAGCAATATATTTGGGCAATTAAAAAAACTCAAAAAAGAAAAGTATAGAGAGAATGGTCCAGATTCTTGTGCCGGAAGCAGCTAAACTTTGGTGATTTGTTTTTAAAGGTTTTAAATAAATCTGAATAAGGCAGCATTTTCACGGGTATCAACTTCTGTCAAAGAAAGCATGACGGAATCGCCTTCACAGTCGTTCTATGGTATTGTTGAACTAAACGGCCAGGGGAACCACTAAATGCATAGATTTCGTTGGCGTCAAATGTTTCCACCCTGCTTTAAGGAAACTATTTTATGGCAACTATTTATTTAACTTAGGTGTGGAAGAAACTTTTGTTGCAAGTTCCATAAAATCAAGTTAGATTTGAGCTACATGCCTATGCGCTAACTTATTCACTGACTATTGTTCAACTGCAAACTAGTGCTCGGTTTAAATTACATTGCTTTGTATTTTGATAACCACCGAATTTACCATATTATGCGTTAGGGGACTCGTAATTATTGTGGATGGTATAGACCGCCTACCATTAGCTGAATAATTAAACTAAGTCAATGAGCAAACGTTTCTTTCGGTTTTAGGCAACAAGCCAGCCATCTTGTGCCATAACATCCTAGTAAGCTTACAACCGAATCTTGCTTCGATGGACATCAGTTGACAGATAATAAATGCTTTTAGAAAGTGACTAATTAATTGTGCTTAGATTTCAATTTGTTCATTAAAAGTGTAAAGACTAATTAAACACATCCTTTGTTGCAAAATTGTAACCGATTGCACGGATCGCCCTTAAATGCACGGGCTGTTGCTACTTTTAAATCAAAAAAGAAATATTCACAGGGTTCCGTTTACAGCACTTCCGTGGCATTTTGTGCATAACTTGCTTTCCTTCTTTATCAGAATCAAAACTATAGTTTTCGCATATCTGCACCCACAGCCACCAATCACCAGTCATTACACTGTCATTAGCTTTATTTGGTCTTTATTGATAATTTTGGTTATCTTTGAATCCTATTTTAATCATCATTATCCGAATCAATTCAATAGTAGCAAATCCGGTCGACTTCTAAAGTTTCGCATGCACTCTAATTGTAAAGATGGTACGCTATTTCATTTTATGAGAAAAGAAATAAACCCCAAATTCCAGGTGCCTTGCTTGGGCTGTGATTTAAGTTGCGCGTAATTTGCATGCATTAAATTAACGTCACGGTTTTTCACTGTGCCAAGAAAAGTGTTTTTTAACTGCCACGAAGCTTACGCATGACTAAACAGCTGTATCTATAGCCTTGTGTGCGCACCGGGAGCTGACATCTTTGTCGCATCTGTGGGCAGGGTATTTACTGCAGCAACAGTAACAGCGCTTCTCTAAATGAGGCTGATTTGTGCTGTCAGCACCAACTGCTGCAGTTTCTGTTAGCTTCGTTCGAAAACCCCGACTGCAAAATTATATTTACAATGAAACAACTATTACAATAGTGTAGCTGATACAGAGTGAAGTATATATGTGGAGGAAGTGAGTGCAAAGAATGCGAATACCAAATCAGCAAATGCATCATTTGAAAAAAATTTTATTCAAAAATTTTTACGAACACGTTTAATGGACGAACCCTTTAGCTTCCTACTGGGCTTGTTCACAGTTTCGTAATTTAGAATTTATTGGCATGGCACCCATTTAAAACATTCGTTTCAGTGTTTGAGGGACATTATCAACAACTTTATCGTAATCGCTTAAATAATCACACCTAAGAAACGCTATATGTGTACTCTACTAAAATAAACATATTTTTGACCTCTGAGTCAGAATTTTTTTCGAGCTTAAAATGCTTCGAAAAATTTAGGCAAAGCATTGACCGCACGTTGTTAATAGCAAAACGAGATAAGTAATGCGTTTTTGCGCAAAAGTGTCATTATTAAGTTGAATAAATCAAAATGCACCAGCAAGTCAAGTGTGAAATGTTTTTTTTCAACATCTAGCATTCAATTTGTTGCATGCAAATGTCCAACATCGGCCACTTTATGTCAAATTAAAAGGGATTTTGCACTTAGCTGTATCGTGATGCAGCTAACCGCACATACAGTTAGCGTTTTGGTAGTTGTGTGTTGCAATTCCAATTTCACCTTAAATAAGGTCGCATTAAATTACGTTAGGCCTTTAATGCGCCCTTACACTCTGGATTATGAAAGCACATAATGCGAACAAATCAGACAGGTTTTCGTGAGCCGACTATTGCAACATAAGGTTGTTTCCAAGATGCTTTTAGATGCATGAGGCTGGCTATTTCTTTCATAGGTCCTATGGCTCTTCACTCTTTTGGGAGCCTTCGCCGTTATCGCTGATTCCTTGTAAGTTATGCCAAAACACCAGAAAGCTTCTTTAGTCTTGATAGCCTAGCTGGTTAATTGTTGCTTTAGGTGTAGTGTTCTTGTTTGAATTAGAAACAAAGCACTCAAATCGTTTTTTAAAAAGGCGTCGTGGTCAGATCAGGCTATAACCTTACAAAAACATGTTCTTATTAAAAATGGACCTTCTGGTGCTCAATGCGTTTCGAACAATGTGAGTAGAAAAGTAATTCTTTGCTACAAAGCACTAAATACCTACTCCTGTAAACAGAACTAGTGTGGACAGATTTTAATTGATTAGCTTTGGGTGAACCAAAGGCTGCCATGTCTTTCACTGTTTGGGGTACCTCGACTTAAATGCACTATTAACATATATTTTGGTTGTAGCTTCAGTCCATCTCTGATCGCCTTGGCGCGCTCAATGCACATGAGTCAGAACTTGGCTGTATCCTTTTACTTTCATCTACCATATTGATTTTTTTTTCAATTTAACCCGGTGTTTACAAAATGCAAACACATTACGGTATTTTTTTTCCTAAAGCTACCTACCTATGCAAGTATCCGAAAACGGCAATGACCATCGGCTCTGGATTAGAAACCCGAGGAAGTTAAAAATAACTTGCAACGCATGTGATCACATACTTTAGTTACAGCTCACTGTAACATGTCATCAATTAAACTCACTCCATACATGTTACTTTTAAGGAAATCAGTGCGGGAGCAGTATAAAACCTTCCTGGATAAAGTTATACTAGCCCAAATTCAGTGAACCCCAGAACATTCCTGCATACAGTCATTTCAAAGTGGAAATTAAATGTTGGAGGTCACTAAGCCTTCTTCATGTTACTCATTCACACTTGATTCTAACATAGGAAAATTCTAATACTATCATCTAAGTAGGTAAACGAACATCCCTAACACTTAGTGCTTTGATTCTTCAAACAAACTAAGGTATTACGTAAGTGAAAGAAAATTACTTGTGAGATCAGTTTAAAAGTAGTGAACTGCATTGTGTTCTGGAAATCAGAATTTGCAGGGTGCATCACCAGTTTATCAATACGTGAATTTCGATAAGGCCACTTTAGAAATATCCATGCTTAACAACGCATGTACAAGCGATGGGCCTGCAAACGCCACTGTACCGTGAAAAGTCACCGTAAGCGTCTGTAAGAAGTCAGCAAGCTTGGAAATCCATTTCCACAAACACTCTTGTCTACGTTAACAAGGTTGTTCGACTAGGTGCAATCTACTCAATTTTACTTCAAAGCACACTGCAAATGTTTCTGGAGAGTTTCTTCGACTGAAGACTCGTTCAGTCAGAACAGACTTGTTCTAGGAGAGCATGAACCAGTTGTTTTGTGGCACCAGAGCAGACCAATTCAGGACAGAATGCTAAAACGCGAGGACGTTAATACTACTAGCTTCGTCTATGGTTTCACCGTAGTCTCCATAATATCTTTTGAATTTGATCAACCAAACAAATGTTTAGTTCAACTCAATTACGTTTTTCAAAGATGAAAGGACACCAATACCAAGGTTCTATCCCGTCCAAATATTTTCACTTCAGGGAACTGCAAAATTCGCAAGGTTGGGAATCCAACGTTGGTCAGAGTCATAACTTGAGCTGAAAATCTCTTTAATGCAAAGTCAGAACACGTTTACTCCGTTAGCATTCACACCTTTCGCAAAATGTAGAGTAGATATTGACTTCACCAAAAGCATAGTAGTTGTGTGAACTAACTCATCAACTTGTTGAACCCGTAGCGACTACCTACCACGGCAGAACCTCTGTACTGTAAACCATCTATCCAATCATCCTATTATCATTAAACGAAATCATTTTCAGTAAATGACTGTTCTTGAAGTGCTTTTCCCTAACGCCACCGTTAATGCCAAAAGGGAGTCACTTTGCTAGCCTTTGGGAATGGAGCCCCAGACGTCTTCAGCGCTGTGACCGCGATTACCACTGGCGACCCAGAAGCACCGGACGAGGGCCTTGGTCTCGGTTTCCTAATGGGTGAGTCGTCGATACGGGAGCATCCGTTGTCCCCTCCTTACACATTCAATTAAAACCACTGTTCTAGCTTGCTTCGTTGTATCGCCATCACTTGAAGTTTAGTGTTAATGCCTCTTTCTTACGTCCAAATTCAAGTAGTCTTAACCATGGCACAGCACTTTGTACCCCGTCTGCTGCATCCTGATTAAATAGATTATGACGAGAGTTCGAAATATTGACAAATAACCGGCTCAGACAATTATGCCGTCAACAATAGTGGCTGATTTCAACGTCCGAACGACCAAGTCAGACTAGATGATGAGCAGATCCAACTATGTATGTTCACCGACGACAAGCGTCCTCCTTGACAACGCATTTACCGTGCTGCTAGCTACCCACAATTCTTTCTGATTAGTTGACAGTGCAACTGTACATCACTACAGCTGATGGATGTACTACCATTTAACAACTTGCAAGTTCACAAGTAGATGGCAATACAATGGTACAAGTGGCGAACGCAGCACCACTACATATCCAAACTCCAACAGTTTTCCACATGTTGCCACAAATTCATGTGGTCTGTTAATGTCTTAATGAAAACACAAGTCAATCGAGATATGCTTATCCGGGCAGTTTCCACTTGATTGCTTTCCAATCAAACTCCACCAAACATCAGCAGAGATCGTTTGGCTGCTTTAAAGCACCCCGAAATGCATAGCACGTATGTGGTCCCACAAAATTACCATCAAGCTCATTTTCATGCTAATCTGCTCTTGACTCTGTGTGTGGTCGTCCAATGCACTTGAACCTGTGTTTTCAGTTCTTGTGATTGCAGATCATCCCTTCTCTTCACCAGCAACATGTAGTCTTGCAAGTGTACAGATGTCACAGCATCTGAGACGTGTATCACAAGTATTGAGTTGTGGCATTGAGTGAGGTCCC